TGGATCTCCCGACGTTTGATTACACCCGTCGACCAGCTTCAGCCATAGTGAGGCCGTGATTGACAACATGGTCCACAAGTGTAGCCCTAATTTCATCAGGGATTTGCCTATGTACTTCACCTCTTCTTCCCCTTCCTCCCCACATTCTCGCCTCTCCTCCACGATGCTGACCTTCCATTTTTGTGTCACAGAATTAAAGAAATTGTGAGGATTTTGAGTTATGCAGCAGTTGGGGTTCCTGTGTTCCTGTCCTGTGTGTGTGTTCTCCCTCTCTCCCTCTCTCTGCAGCGCTGGAGGCACAGCGGGAGAAAGGGCTGGCCCGGACTGATTGCATGCAGCTGATTCTCGTTGGTGTCAATTACCTGGCTTTATATGCCAGCTTCTCTGTCGACTCAGTGCCGGATGATTTCCCAGTCATGCAACCCGTGTCTTGCCACGCCGAGCTCCCTGATCTCCCGCCCGTGTATCCAGCCTGCCTCTCAGTGTTCCTTTGTGAGTTCTTTTGTTACTTTCCAGAGAGTTTTTCCCTTGAGCAAAGGTGATTTTGTGTTTGAGTTTTTTCCTCCAGTTGAGAAGATTTTTTGGTTTACTATTTCTGTTGCACTTTGTATTTTTACATCCTTAGTTGTTACTTGCCCCACGTTGCACTATCATTTGAACTTTGTTTTTTCACCAGCTATTTTGCCTTGCTGTAGTGACTATCCTCTAACCCTGGTTTTGTGTGTAGATGGTTTTGTGTCCTCGATGTGTAGATGCAGAAGGAGGCTTTGTGACACTGGCTTGCTTGTATAATAGGAGTTTATTATAAAGACAACACCAGTATCAATACAGCACTGCAGTTGCTGGGAGAGGACTGCGAAATGATGTCCAGCTCTCCCAACCAGAATTTTTGACCCTGTTATATATGGTAAGGGGTGTAGGCCCTCCTATACCCTGTCTTTGTTCCCAGTCTTTAGTTACCATCTGGTTTTTATGTAACTTAGAGTTGTGATTTGTGACCGGTGACCTGTAGACATGTAACTTTCAGGACACACAAGAAAAACACACGCCCATATTTTACACTTGGTCCCCCCAGGCTGTTTCTGAGAATAATCGCCTCAGGTTGTTTCTAAGAAATACCTCAAGGCCTTACATGGTGGTGCATTACTCCAGATACCACACCGGAAAAGGCGATTTTCTGTCGTTCACTTTGATCTATTGTTTATTGTCAATAAATTTGGGCACTTGCCTCTGCATTTTTGGATCCTGGCCTTTGTTCAATTCCTAACAGAATCATCTGGCCAGAAGAGTATGGATTCAGCAGAGGCTGAACACTTAAGACAAGCTGTATCCACTCAAGGCGTGTTAGTAGGCAAACACGAGTCCACTCTCATGCAAATCATGGAACATTTGCAACAGCTCATTATCAGTGTCTCCCAGTTAAGAGGCGAGCTGGGGACCATGCGGGATCAGCCTCCTCACTCTGCTCCTGCACCTCCTCCACCCGCCGAGCCATCTGCTGCCTCTCCCCCATCAGCTAGGGAACCATTTATTCCCATCCCTCCCAGATACTCCGGGGATGTTGCTCAGAGTTCTTATTACAGTGCTCCTTGGTATTTAGCCAACAGCCAGCCACTTACGCTACGTTAACGTTTATCATGTGTCTGTTGTCGGGTCAGGCTGCCCCCTGGGCCCTAGCTGTAACTACCGGGGGTTCAGAAATATTGACAGACTTAACCAAATTCACGGAGGAAATGAAACAAATCTTTGATCACCCGGTACAGGGTAGAGAAGCTACGGGTCAGCTATTAGACCTACGGCAGGGCAGTTTACCAGTCTCCCAGTACGCCATAAACTTCTGCATTCTGGCAGCCAGCAGTGGGTTTGGGGACACCGCTCTCCGAGCTATTTTTCGCAAAGGGTTAATGGGAGAATTAAAAGATGAGTTGGCAGTGCTGGAGGAGAGCTCCTCCCCAAATGAGCAAATAGAGTTGAACATTCACATAGACAACAGACTCAGAGAGAGGCGGAGGTAGAGGAGAGCGGATCAGACTTGCCGTTCACCAGCTTCCAGTGTCTGCAGCCCCGGAGACTACACCTCCTCACCTGACGCCGGCTCGCACCTTGCTCCCGAACACCACTCACCTCCACCGGACGAGCGGATGCAGCTGGGTCAATCTCGCCTCACGCCAGCAGAACGGCAGCGGAGGATGCAAGAAAAGCTCTGCCTCTACTGTGGCCACGGAGGTCACCACCTCGTACCTGCACAGAGGTGCCAAAAGGCAGGGCTCGTCAGTAGGTCAGGGGGCACTGGTGAGCCATATCTCTTCCTCCCAGATCAGGTTCAAGGTATGATACACGATACCCACCTATCACATGAGCTGCGGGTTCTCATTGACTCGGGGGCAGACGATAACTTTATAGACGAAGCCTATGTTAAAGCAAATCACCTGCCTGTTAGCCCTCTGACTTCTCCAAAGGAAATTCTAGCCATACATTGACGACTCATAAACACTGTTACCCACAGAACCACTCCTTTAAAGCTGACTCTCTCGGGAAATCATCATGAACATCTAGAGTTTATTGTCATAACCTCCCCACTCACTCCTGTTATTTTGGGTCTCCCGTGGTTACAACTTACAACCCCCATATAGACTGGTCCACCTCCACCATTCGCAGCTGGAGTGCTTACTGTCACGCCCACTATCTCCATTCAGCGCTTCCAGCCAGATCTCCTAATTCCTCACGCCCACCTGAAACTATAGACCTGAGTAATATTCCTCGGGATTATCAAGATTTACATGAGGTATTCAGTAAAGACGCGACCTGTTCACTCTCTCCTCACAGCCCCTACGACTGTGGGATTGATTCACTCCCTGGGGCTCCCCTTCCCACACGTATACTGTACAACCTGAGTAAACCTGAGAAAGAAGCCATGGAAACGTACATCACGGAGTCAGTGGCAGCAGGCCTCATAAGGCCCTCATCCTCGCCGGTAGGGGCAGGCTTTTTTTTGTTGTTGAAAAGAAGGATGGTTCTTTGCACCCCTGGGGGCGAAGACGATCCTCCCCTTCACATGTGTTGTGGGGGCAGTCCAGTGGAAAGTGGAGCAGGATGTCCAGGCTGAGCTCAGGGACCACCCAGCTCCGGACAGCGTACCTGAGGGGCGGCTGATCGTCCCACCTGTGACCAGATCCACGGTGCTCCTGTGGGGGCACGCCTCCCACCTCGCCTGCCATCCCAGGGTTTGGTGGACCCTTATGCTGGTGCGACAACGCTTCTGGTGGCCTTCAATGACAGCGGACGTTCGCACCTTCATTGCCGCCTGCTCGGTCTATGCCCGCAGCAAATCCTCTCACCAGGCCCCTGCCGGGCTCCTGCATCCTCTCCCTGTGCCCTCACGCCCCTGGTCTCACATCGCCGTGGACTTCATCAGTGGTCTCCCTCCCTCTAATGGCAACAATACCATACTCACTATCATGGATCGTTTCTCCAAGGCGGTTCATTTCGTCCCACTCCCTACACTCCCCACAGCCTTAGAGACTGCTAACCTGCTCATCCTACATGTGTTCAGACTTCACAGAATTCCCACGGATATAGTGTCAAACCGGGGGCCCCAGTTCACCTCCCAGGTTTGGAAGGCTTTCTTTAGGGGTCTGGGGGCTACGGCCAGCCTCTCCTCCGGCTACCACCCACAGTTGAATGGCCAGACTGAGCGGGCAAACCAGGACTTGGAGTCTGCCCTGCGATGCGTCGCCTCGCCTCATCCTCGACCCACAGCTGCTGCGAGGCTTCTATGCCGCCAACCCAGGTAAACCAGGTAGAACGCCAAGAGGCGTTCCTTGAGGGGAGGGTACTGTGAGGATTTTGAGTTATGCAGCAGTTGGAGTTCCTGTGTTCCTGTCCTCAGTGTGTGTTCTCCCTCTCTCCCTCTTTCTGCAGTGCTGGAGGCACAGCGGGAGGCGGGGCTGGCCCGGACTGATTGCATGCACCTGATTCTCTTTGGTGTCAATTACCTGGCTTTATTTGCCAGCTTCTCTGTCGACTCAGTGCCGGATGATTTCCCAGTCATGCAACACGTGTCTTGCAACACCGAGCTCCCTGATCTCCCGCCGCTGCATTTTTTGGATCCTGGCCTTTGTTCGATTCCTAGCAGAAATAGTACACACTATCTCCTGCTTGGTTTATGTATATATGCTTGCCAAGTGAGGGTTCATGGAATTCAACTGTGAGTGACTGTGGACAAGTTGCTGAGGTTCACCTGAGAGCAATTGTTCAATTTAGGAGACATTTTCAGGAAAAAATTATAAAGGAATGTAGGAAATCAGCCTGACAGATTTTGAGAACTAGTTAAACAATTTTGTATGTAATGACGCAAGCAGTGAAATGAGGACTATTAGTTTTACAGGGAATGACTATCCAACATTCTTAAGTATGTTTCATTTTGACTGACATGACACGAGCAAATGATAATGTTATAAAACAGCATAGAATTGTATGAAAGTAACTGATACATGCCCAAGAGCATTTGCAAGTTCAGAGGAATGAACAAATTGCCCCCCAAATTGATAATTCAGCACGAGTTCGGCCTGTCAAATCATCTGATCAAAGCAAGTTTATTTACTTTTATCAACAGCGGAGAGCGCTTCTTTTTTTTTTTTTGATGAGCGCCCGGCTCATCAGCTGGCCGAGCACGATGATGCGACTACTCGAGGACCTCGAGTCACGTGATACGTGCTTTGTATAGTGCAGTTCAGGCGACATCGAAGTTATTTTTACACGTTTGCATGATAGCGCTTTTCTAAAGCCGCTACAAAATAAACCCAACAGTTTAAAAACAGTAAAAAAACAGTAGACCTACTGAGTACCTTTTATGTCAACTTCAAGAAATCATTTGGTAAGTGAAAGTACCTATGGGTTAGAAAGTAGATATCAATGTTCAGTTCATCTAGCTTTTTCAGTTTTCAGCTCATATTAATTTTTATATACCTATTCCACAGAAAACAGAAAGCAGGGCAAACATGTCCAAGAGATTAAGACAGAATACACTGGTTGCATTTCTGGCAAAGAAAAAGAAAGAAATTGACAAAGAGGAAGATAGTAAACATGAAACCAAGGAGGATGGAAGAGAAAATAGGGAAAGTAAGGTGGAGCACAGAGAGGAGAGTCATTCAGAGATGGAAGGGGAGCAGAGAAACACAGAGGAGGATGGAGAGCAGAGAAACACAGAGGAGAGTGGAGCACAGAGAAAAACAGAGGAGGATGGAGAGCAGAGAAACTCAGAGGAGAGTGGAGCGCAGAGAAGCACAGAGGAGGATGGACAGCAGCACAGAGATGGGATACAGCAGGGACCAGGGAAACAGGGAAATGGGGGGAGAAGAAATGAGAAGTTCATGCCCTCAGCATCCCTTTGACCCAGTTAGGATAAAAAACAAAGTCATTAATGGTGATGCACTTACAGATGACGAGAAAAAAAGTGCACTCCAAAATAGGTGGTTAGCACCAGAGGGATATAGCTATCCCCATCGTACCTTTGGAGGAAAACAGCTGAAGTACAATTCTTAGTGGGAGAAAAAATAAGAATGGCTTCCCATGTGAAGATGCAGCCTATTGTGCCTCTTGCCTCTGCTTTAATAAAGTAAAAGGAGCAAACTTTGGCTTCCTTACAAAGGGCTCTACTGATTAGAGGAATGCCGTCGGTGAGAAAAGAGGCATTATCCCAGGTATCCCACTATAAACATCTGTTGTGACTTGTAGCCTAAAAGAATAAAATAAAAATAATAATAAAAAACATCGAAAAACTTTTCGGTGTCATGGACCTCACCTATTCCAAAATCCTGGCTACAGCCCTGTACACACTCTTTTCATTATGTTTGAGTGAGCGTCTGTAAAACTGATCTGAGGACAGCACACATGAAGCTGCTGCAGATCTGACCTGTTGTTTTGTGACTGCATTGGTAAAACAGAGCAAACATAGAGGAAAGGAGAAAATCGCTGTTTAAAGTCTGATCTTTAGTCTCCTTCACTTACAGGTGTACATGTAGGAGCAGAACTAAGTCAAGACTATGAACCTCAGACTTCTACCAACAAGCATAATCACAGAGATCACATTGAATACGGGAGTGCTGTTGTCTTTTTTCCATAGTCTGTGTGTTTGCTCAGTGAAGGCAGAAGAAACAGGAACAGGTTAAAATCACACTGTACAACACTTGATTCAAACTTTTCAAATGCTTTGTTTTAGTGTTTGTAAAAGTCTTTCTGTGCTGAACACTTTGATGATTTGATAAATTTGTGACAGTATCAAAAGTCAGTCACTGGCTCTCTTTGAAGCTGAGCACAGTCAACAACCAGTGTGATGAACTTCAGTCAGTGTCCACTGTACAGCAGCAACAGTTTAAACCCATTCACAGGAGCAACGGTTTGTGAGGAGCTGCTCAGAAAGACAGTGGAAAGTAAGCTCAGAGAAAAGCTCTCTCAGCATTTCTCAAACTCTCTGTATTTTCATTTATTTTGGTTTTCATGGTTTCCTTTATACACACAGACTCTAAATATATATGCACAGAATTTTCTCCAATTCAATAACTAAAAATCAGGAATCATGTTCAGTTTTCAGAGCCAGACCATTTCAGTGAGAGCAGCTTTGGTGCCTAATCTGCTGATATCCAACCATCAGCCAGAAACTTAGGAGTCAAATTTCATTGTCATCAGTCCTTTGAAATACACATCAAAAACCTTGATAGATAGATAGATAGATAGATAGAGAGAGAGAGAGAGAGAGAGAGAGAGAGAGAGAGAGAGAGATGGATGGATGGATGAATGGATAGATAGATAGATAGATAGATAGATAGATAGATAGATTACTTAATTTTATGAATGCCTGAAGGGAAATTAAATTGTCATAGCAGTACAGCAATAGGACAATGAAAACAAGATATAAACAATATATTGTAGCGATTTGAATTCATAATAAATGTCTGAGGATTCATAAACTGAAATTATGACATTTATGCACTCATTGAAGGGGCATCACCCACCTTTAATGGTGGGAAAATAAAGAAAAACAAAAGTTTAATTCAGAAATCAAACATTGAGTCAATCTTAAATTAATCAATTTCATATCTCAAGCTGAAATTCTCATTTCAGGGACCTTACTTCTGGAAAAACACTAACAGACAAGAACTTAGAAAAATAAATGATCTGTTTATTACAGGATAAATGATGGTACAACATACATGCAATAAATGACGATAAGATAATGAGGATAAATAATAATAGGTGAATAATAAAAGATTCTGAGTCAGGCTAGGAGCACTAAAGTTAATGACAGTGAGTGAATATGCTCTAACATATTAACCTACATTAACTCTGTTGTGAAGCTAAATTTGGATGTGGATTTGGATGAATCTGGGATTATTACTATAAGTGAATATCTGAGTCATGACCACATGAGACAGCATCAGCCCTGTTTGGAGCAATGGAGGTTTGCATACTGTTCGTATACATACAAGTGAGACCTGTCCTTGGAGAAGATGGAGCAGGTACCGAAGGTCCGGGGCTACCAGCGGTTCGAGCCGTTCTGCTCAGATGACGACCGAAGTCAGCCGAAAGATGGGCCAGAAGTTGCAGCACTCTGGCCTGAAGCAAAAACCAACGCTGTATGGATTCTATTCGATGCTCCTTTGGTCTCACCATAAACTCTGGCACAGAGGATGACTTTGGGCCTGCTCAGCGGCATTTGGAGGTGACTTTGAAATCACACAGATAACTCAGGAAAAGAGGCTCGATGACCAGTTCAAACTATTTCAAAAATAACTTTGCGAAATTAAAGAAAATGAATTAAAGTTGAAGTTTCAAAACTTGAACTAAGATGATGTTAAAAATCTACGTGAATGAACACGTGGTGTAAAACTTAGAAGACTAAGAAAAAGTCAGACTAAGTAATAAAACTAAGAGCTAAGAGAAAAAAAAAGAATGACAGAGAAGAGTGTAAGCAGAAGAGAGCGAAGAGGACAAGAGAGTGAGCACCCCCGACTTTACTGTTTTTTATCTCCTTCACACTGGGAGGTGTGTGTGTGAGGAGAAAGAGGAGGGGTCATGGGGTCTCCAACTGCAGAGGAGACCTCTTGGATCCCTGATTATTAGATCTAACTTGTACTTTTGGCTGGTAAAAGAGTCAGATCTGATACTCACTCACTATGAAGTCCGCCAAGCTGGGCGTGGTGGCGAGGCAGGGGGAGGTGTCCACAGAATCAACTGCTGCAGTGACATTTTCGTGCTCGCCGATGGCGTATAAAGTGCGCTGAAAGCTCGCCGATTCAAACCTGGTCAGCTTTCAGCGCAGGCGGAGCGCAGCTGGTCTAGTAGTATACGTCACCGATGCCTCACCGGCAGGTTTCCACAGTGTCAGGTACATTTCAGTGCAATAAATAATCATCAATAACTAATAATCTGAGTCAGCACATACATTTAGATCTATATAGATATTCTGATCTATATCTGATCTGATGAGCGCATTTGGCATGCGTTTGGACCATAGATTGTATATACTATGGACAACCTGGTTCCGCCTTCCGCCTGTATACGGATTTGAAGCCAAAAAGCTCTCGGTAATTCCAGGTTTTTCTCCACTTTCTTGAAACCAAAGCTGCACAGTAGCAATGCGCGCATTCGGCCGCGCAGTCGCCGAGAGTCCCTGTGATGACGCTCGGCTCAAACAGCATATCCCCCCGGGTGAGCTACGCAATCCCTGAACGCCCATTGGCTGTGCCAGGTGTCAATCATAGAAAACATGAACCCCCTAATAACTTTTAAAAACGGAGCTGTACACAAGCAGGGGGGAGAAAAATTTATGTTCTGTGTAATGCATTTCTAAAGTTTGTCCACAGTCCCATAAGCTTTGCTGGCGGAGGCGGGATTTATGATCTGTACTGCAGCCCACCATCAGAGGGTGCTGTTCTCGGAGTGGCTTCACTCAGCGAGGAGGCAGACTCTGTCCATTCTATATACAGTCTATGGTTTGGACACACAACCTGACCGAATCAACACAGCTGAAACCACATTAAATTAAATATCTTGTAAATAGACACACATGATGAAGTTAACAAGATATGTAATTCGTCTCCCTCCTTTTCTTTCTTCCTCTTTCTCTTATTTCTCACGCAGCTGGACCTGGAGATGTGTCCGTGTCCTCTCTCCCCGTCCTGCTGCAGCTGCTGCTGCGGCGGCTGAACAGATGATTTATTTTAGTGATCAGATGAGTTATTTACTTTAAGCCTACATACGAATATTATAATATTCAGTTTTGTGAGCCAAATTTATTTAATATGCCAACATCTATGAAAGAAAGAGCCAGGCCACGGAGCGCGATGCGTCCTTTACGCACAGATGGTTAATGCCGTTTTTGGAATTTATGTTGTGATCTGTGCGCACAACCCACCTTTGTCACGTGATGTTTGAATATATGCAACTTTATGTGAGTGTCTTTATTTGTGGAAAAGGGTGTTTGTCTTACTAGTGGGTCCAACCTTACACACACCAAATCCATCTGTGCTTATATGAGACAGTGTGAAGGACGCCCTCTGCAGCGTTTACAGCGACACTTGTTGAGGGGCTGCCTTCTGTCGCCATCGTGTGGCATTGCTGTCTTCAGATATCTCTTGATCTCTTTGACTACTTCACGAAAATTGTAATACGCCTCGCCGGTGGCGGATTTAAAGGCGAGGAGAGGAGCTGATGTTATTGGTCAATACAGGTCTCAGCTGTGTTAAAAACACTCCACGCCCTCTCTCCTCCCTCGCTACGACTTACGACGCTGGGAGGAGCTGAGTTAGGGAGGGGGGATATTACTGTCAGTTCTTCCTCTGGGTTGAAGTACTTCAGCACAGAAGCATTTGCAGTGGTCTCCTTCAGTTCCAGAAAGGCTGCCTTGTGTTTTTCTGTCCAGTTCCACTCAGTCTTTGTGTGGCAGTTGCCTCAACACCGAACACTGGTCAGAGAGGTGTGGGCAGAGTTTGGAAAGGTAGTTTACCATACCCAGTAGTCTTTGAACAGCTTTCACATCTGTTGGTTTTGGCTTCTTTTCTGGATTTATCTTTAGCCCATCCGCAGTAAGTAGCTGTCCATTGTATGCGGCCTCCTTTTGTCTCAGTTTGAGCTTGTCTAGGTTCAGTTTGATATTCTTTTGTTTGCACCTGTCTAGAAACAGTGTCAGTTTTTCATCATGGTCAGCCTCTGCAGCTTCCTGTGTCTCATCTTGACCCGTGATCAACACATCATCAGCAATGATATACAAACCAGGGAGGTCCTCCAGAGCTTGTGTGAGTTTTCTCTGAAAGATCTCAGGAGTTGTGCTTATTCCCATCAGCATCCTCAGCCATCTGTAACATCCAAAAGGTGTTGCAAACATTGTCAGGTA